TAGGTAGAAGAATAAAGTGGGATATTTCTGGCCTTAAAACTAAAATTGTCTTGTAATAGCAAAATGAAGTTTTTTTTTTTAACAAGAGCAAAATCAAGTTACTCTTTATGGTTCCCTCAAAATATGGCGTTTAATCAGCATATATTTAAGTTATTATTTTTTCCCTCTGATTGATTTCCTACTGTGGTAGGGATTCCAATTTCCAAGTATGGTGTCCCTTGGCTTCATCTAAAAGGATTTCTCACTCGTCAACCTTGTCTAGGTCAAAGATTCTTGTCACGGAACAGCATATCTGGAACATCGATCTAAACTTGAAATATTGTCAACAGTTCTCATCCCGTGGTTGCTGAAAATGATGCAAGGAAGAAATTACGAGAAACAATATACTTGAATATCTCCAAAGAGCCGATTATAGTGGTTAAACGACCATTTTAGAGCACTTTTACAAACTATTTATTAAAATAGGGTTGTTTTGAAACATTTTAGAGCCCATAGCGATATTGGTATTAATTTGAGATTTTTTACAACTTAAAAATAATTCATTGGTATTAAAAAATATAAGGATTTTAAAGGATTGTTGTGTGTGGGAGATTTTGAAGGAATTTCTAGTGTTATTTATAAATACCAAATTCATAAAACAATCCCATCCAAACCCATCGGATTTTGAAAGATTGTTTGAAGTGACTTTTCAAGAATTTTCAAGTGAGTTTTTCATTTTTTTTTCTATGCTCCTGTCTTCTCCATTTTTTCTCTACTAATAATACTGCACTATTGTTTATTGCTCATATAATATTGTAGTACTGTTCTCATCTCATTCTCCTATTTTGTGAAACTCCAATATGTAAATGATAGTATCATTGACTTGCTCTATTTTTCTGTTCGTTCTCTTTAATTGGCTTGCTTTATTTTATTCTATGTAGTTGAATTTGTTCCTTTATATAACACAAAAAAATACTTGAAATTTCAACTTATAAGTGATAATTTTTTTTATGACACACGTCAAGAAAAGAAAAAGGTAAAAGATGAAATTGATATCATAATCTCTACAATATATATATATATATA